TAGGGGCTTAGGGGTCGGTATTTCTTAACTTGTTTACCGTCAAGCTTGAGGATTCAAGGTTGGAGGGCTTAGGGCCTGGGGCTTGGGCTTGGGGTTTAGGGGTTTGAGGCGTGGGGTCAATGGTTTAGGGGTTTAGGGTTTAGGGGGGTTTTTAGGTTTAGGGTTTAGGATTTTTTTCGGTTCAGGGTGTAGGCGTTTTGGGTTAAAGGATGACGGGTTTAGGGCTCAAGGGTTTTTTAGGCTTGGGATCTCAGATTGGGTGCAAGCACACTTTGCCGTTCACGATGCTTCGTTTCGCCTACCTCGGAGGTCCCGGCATCTTCGGGTGTTAAAAGCTGGAAATAGAACGCACAGATGCTTACGTATGATATAACTGTAGCTGGAAATGGCTCGTGGCTTTAATCTGTTCAGAACAAATCGGACATGATATTCGACTCTCGTGCCATGTCGATGAATAGCCGACACTTGCCCCTAGACCCTATCCGATCTGCCACGGCTGCATTATGCTATGATCGAAGTAAAGTAAGGCTTTCCCAACTAGCATCCCCAAATCTACACAATCCTAAACCCTATAAACTCTAAACCCTAAACCCACTCACCAACGTTGCTCCTGGGGAGCCCTAAATTCCTTTCGTAACCGTTGTGCCCCTTTACGCCTGGACACCAAAACGGGTTTGTGGTTTAGGATACCAAACCAAAAACACGACAGGCACGACGTGAGTGCCGGTGCGACTGGAATCCTTGGTGATTTGGGGTTCACACTTCCAAAAACGAGGCTTACCGTGCAACCAATATTGAAGCGACATGAGAAAACTAACCCAATTCTAAACCGTTAAACCATGTTAACCCCAATAGGTATAGTTCCCGGTTTACTGTACGTACTTACCCTAAACCCTAAACCCTAAACCCTAAAACCCTAAAGCCCTGAAACCCTGAAACCCCAAACCCTTAAAGCCCTAAGTTAAAGGAAGCTACAGGTGGGGAGTTTAGGGTATATAGGGCTTCTATAAGGCTTCCAAAAGGTATATAGACCTTCTATAAGCTCCTATAACGGTAGCTACAGGGTTTAGGGTTTAGGGTTTAGGGCCTAGACTAAAGGGTTTAGGGGATCACAAAGCACGGAATTCGGCTCCCGACCCGGCCTTGATCGCACCGATTTTGCAGAGGGCCACCCGATGCTGCTCAAAATGGAGCTCTTGCAACCTTTCCCAGAGGCTCCGTATATACTCCCATCATGGAATTAAGTCCCAAAAGACCATGACTTATTATGGCTGGAGGGACCTAATTCCATAATGGTAGTACAGATGGAGCTCTTGCAACCTGTGGTTCTCCCCCCGAAGGGTTCAAAGGACCCTACTTAAAGGTTCATGAGAGTTCGAAACTAGGGTTCTAACTTAGGCAACTATACTTATAATGACTTATAACACAATTAAGGTACTTCTAACTCATAACCTTACTTACTAGTTCCCATGATCCCCCAAGTAATGACCCTAACAAGGTACTTTGGTTGCGGATAGTCGTCAATACCCGTTGGGTAAGGCTTAGGGTTTAGGGATAGGGGACAGACTGGTAGTATACATGGTGCTCTTGCAACCTGTGGGCGGTTCTCTAAAGCAGGGCCCCTTTCAGGGTCCTCTTTACCTTAGGAGCTGAGTACCCTGGCCCCCAAAAAGGTTAACCTTTTCAGTTATAGTAGGATCATATAAGCCCCCAAAAGGTTAAAGTTAAAGGTTATCTACTCAGCCACTAAGTTATAAGGATGCCGTACTTTGTTGGTGCCCTTTGCAATCTGTGGTTTAGGGCTTGGGGGTTGAGGGTTGTAGGGCTTTAAAGTTTAGAGCTTTAGGCTTTTTAATAACTTTAGGACCTGTGCCCAGAAGCTCCCATTATACTACCATTCTTCAATTAAGTCCCAAAACGACCATCCTTTCTGTGGTTTTAGGGGCCGACTTCCATACTGGTAGCATATATGGAGCTCTTGCAACCTGTGGTGACGGTTTGGGGTCCGTGGGTTATGGGTGGGAGTTGACTCCCAGACTTTACGTACGGGCTTCATCAACAAGACAGAAAGCTTGTGGAATTTGAGTCAGGAAATTTGGGGATTCGGGGATGGGATTTGTCGGTGCCAGCGCATAAATATCATATGTGCCATCAAGAATCGGGACCATTGACTGGAAAGGGGGGCGGACGGTGGGGACCAACCAAGTATAGGTAACAGCGCACTAGAGCCCTGAGCCCGAACTCACCTTTTGATCCCTTATCACCAAAACCCATCAAAACCCTAAACTGCCCAAAACCCTAAACCCTGAGCCCCAACCTGAACCCTAAACCCTAAATCCTCCACAGGAAACCCCACAGCGTAGTAGGCGATTGGGCTCTTATAGTAGAAGCCCAAAAGTTGGAAACCCAATAGCCTCAACCCTTTTTAATAACGAACAGGGAATCCCAGCACTAAGTGTCCTTAATCCGGTTTCCAACTTTTTTTAAGGTAAACCCTAAACCCTGAACCCTAAACCCTGAGCTATAGTCTGGAAGCATCGGCCGGGAGAGGAGGTCGAGGAGAGGCACCTGCAGTCCCGTTTAGGGTTTAGGGTTTCGGCATTGAGGAAGTTGTATTATCAAAGCCTTGACAAGTAGCATAGGGTTGCTAGGGATTTAAAAAGGTTCCTTTAGGAGTTACTACTAAGGTTCTTACTCTAATATAGGGGCCTAAATAATTTCAAAAGGTTCTGGGGCATATGATACTGCAATTGTAATAAGGAGCCCCCAAAATAGGATTGGTAACTATTTAGGCCCATATAGTCGTGCAGGCTTCGGGGGCTTGAGGTTTAGAATTGAAACTTGCAGGTTTCAGGTTTCAGGTTTAGGGTTTAGGGTTTAGGACGTCTAGGGTTGATGTTTTTGGGGGGTTCAATGTCGGGATTTAGGGCGCCGAGAACTTCTGTGCTGAGGGCTTATGAAATCTGAGATTTGCAGTTTGAGACTTAGGGTTTAGGATTCTTAGACTTTTTGCGGTTACAAGCTAAAAAGATAATTCCGTAGGTTTAGGGTTCCTGGACTCCAGCCGTAGGCTTAACGAGACTACGCTTTGGGGTTGCGGGCGTGTGACGCCACTTTCGTGTCTAAGCTGTAGAGATGACCTGGCCCGAGGGGCTGGGTACCCTAGCCCATAAAGGCCCTTACCCTCAAAGGACTCATATTCTAAGGCTTTTGGGCCCAAAGACCCTATTATAAGAGCTTTTGGGTATTTTGATGCTAAGGGAGGGTTAAACCTGTTAAAGAAGAATAGGATTGCACAAGCCCCAAAAGGTTAAAGAACACCTACTCAGACCCTAAGCCACTGAAAACGAACCCTTTCTCGAGCGGCAAAGAGAAACTGAATGATAGCAAGGAGCACCCAAAACCCGAAAACCCGAACCCTAAATCCCTAAACCCTAAACCCTCAAACCCTCAACCAGAGCATCAGGACCCCGAATCCAAATGTCAGGTGCCCCGATGCTATCAGGAACACGTGATCTGGCTGCAGGTTACCTGGTTGTGAGTAATGTAGAAACATGACCCAGAGAGGTCCAAGTACCCATAAATCCCCCTAAACCCCAAACCGCTAAACCCTAAACCCTGGAACCCCCAAAACCCTAAACCCCTAAACCTCTAAACCCTAAACCCAAAATACTAGGGCTTCAGGTCCCAAGTTTCATGCCCTGCGTGGTTTTTGGGCACCCCAAAACCCTACAAAATTGGGTCCATCAAGCCCTAGGGGTTCATTCCTACGGCTGACCATATAAACCCTGCATTACCATAACGACCCTAAACTATGGGAATTATGGTAAAGGTTTAGGGTTTAGGGCATTACCTTAACGGCCCTAAACTATGAGAATTATGGTAAAGGTTTAGGGTTTAGGGCATTACCTCAAGGACCCTAAACTATGGAAATTATGGTGTTTTCCTGGTTATGGAGAATGCAGGATTTATATCATCAGCCGTACGTCATAAGACTATTCCCCTAAAGCCATAAGGGATCCATGGGGATTTGTAGGGTTTCTAAAGAGACTTTAATTCAAGGGTCCAAAGGAGCCAAAAACCAGGTACTTTGGTTGCAGATAGTAGTTGTCTAGCTGAATATTCGGGAGAGTATATGATTATTAAGTCTTAGGGGCTGAGTACCCTAGCCCAAAAAATGTTAACCTTTTCAATTATAGTAGGATCATACAAGCCCCCAGAGGTTAAAGGTTATCTACTCAGCTAGAAGTACTTGGACCCTCAGGCTTGCTGGGGGGGGGGGGGTTCTATAATGATCTCCAAAACCGTGTTCGAATCATTCAGTGCCCGACATCACCACAACCTCGTGATGTTCTACCGGCCTCGTTACCAAAACTTCCGAACACTTGATCTACCCAACCCTAAGCCCTAAACCCTAAAACCCTAAACCCCCCTAGACCCTCAATCCCACACCCACCTTTACGGAAAAATCTCGAACGACAAATCTGAGACAAGGCGCCTGCATCTGCGACGACCGGGCATGCTGCCTCTCCGTGTACTGATGCTCCAAGAACTGAGTCACCCGATGGCCAAGATCCAGAGGAATGTCGTGCTTCTGCAAGTACCGACGCAGGAGCCTAAACTGTGTCTTCTCGTCCTCATGAAGTTTCCTGAGCCCTGCAATGAGGCCACCCATCGTGCTGATGAGCATGGCAGCGGTGATCAGAGCCGTGAAAGCGATAACACTGTTCAGCATCATTTCGGTTGTGTTCGTCGGCTGCCACGGGCTCTCGCCCACACCCAATTGACAGAAGGCCCACAGCACACATGTCAGATACTGGAAAAACGAATCCCGGTGACGCAAGTCACTGGATGCCACCCAGTTCTCGGTGTGTAGCCAAGTCACCCCAAACCA